CTGCTGTTTACTCAGAATATCAGGTCTGATTTGCTGAGAGGTTGCTAAAATTTGGTGAACCCTTCTGATAATTTGTGCTGTTCTGAGTTTGTAATAATAAGACCAGAGATACAGCTGCCAAAGTTTGCTCGTTTCTCTGTTATCTGAGGAAGTAAAGGCAAAATGTGCATGGAAGGGATGTGATAGGAAAGCTGTGAACTTGGGAGTTTTCTACTTTTTTTCCATACACTGGAAAAATGGCATTTATTGAAATCTGATGCTTAGTTCCTGTTCATAGCTTGAGAGCCATGAAGGCCCCATGTATTTGAAATGGCTGTGCAGGCTTTAGGCCCTATAAATAATACTTTTCTAGTGGGAATTCACCCAAAACTCATTTTAAATGAGCAGAGAAATCCATCCAGGCTGGAATTTATGAGCCCTGCGACTGTCCCTGGAGACCGTGTTAGTTAATGAAGCCTTTGTCAGTGTCAGAGGTAAGCAGAGGACTCTTGTGGCTTGATGAATTATCCTTGGCTTGGAGAAGGGAAAATGCAGTTGCTGCTTAAGTCATGTTGGCATGGGGGGGGTTGATTGTATCAAGTTAGATTGAGGGCTGTTTGCAAAGGGTAGGTAAACTTCCTGAGAAATCAGGGCGTTGCATTTGTCAGTGGGCAGGAGCTGAAGGGATGCTGACTTTGTGCTGTCTCAGGAAGAAAAATACAGCAGTGCATTGGGTCTGGTTGAGCTTGACTTCAAAAGAAAAGCATCTTGGTTCCAGACATAAATCATGTCTGCAGTTTGTAGAAGTTGTGTATTAGAGGAATGCCAAGATGGTCTCCATCTCTTTCCATTGGCCACTTCACCCTGCAGCCACCACGGCTGCTCTGAAATGAAACATCTCCTTGTGGGGGTGTCTGTGCTGGGGTTGGGTTGTTGTGGATAAATTCCCTGATCTCTGGCATCTGTTCTTTTATTGTTCTTGACATAGTCCATGAGGCAGTTCACAAGGCAGCCTAGAGGAGGATGTTTGTTAGTCACCACTGACTTTAAATGAGGCTCTGTTTCTTGTTTTCCTAAGGCTTTAATATTTAAACATGCACACGTTTCTGAAGGTGGTTTTCTGGCATCAGAATGCTTGCACGTTGGTTTCATCAAAATTGAGAAAGTTGTTGGTGTGAGATGAACAATCTTTCACTTATTCAGTCTCCAAGGCAGTCTCCTTGAAACTAGCGAGTTCCCTCGTAGTTCTGTGTTTACATCAGCCAGCTGTCTAACTGAATGCTAAAGACATGAAATTCAATTCCAGGTCAATGGGAAGCTATTGGGCTTTTCCTCTTGGCACCAGTCGGTAATGGATCAGCTTTGTACATCACGAACTCTCCTCTCCATCGCCTGCATTGGCTGCTTGGTGAGCAGGAGCTCAGTGCTGGAGGACTTGCTCTGATTCCCCTCTTAGTTTTCCATAGAGCAACTCATGCTCTGGAGTGCTTCCTTAAGGCAGTCCCCTTACGCCCAGCTTTACTTGAAAATTGTCCTGGGGATAGCAAGGGGGGTCAGACCACATCTTGTTTTGACTGTATATGGTGAAGAGAGTGGTTCATTTGATGGGAAATTTCTTTAATAGGTGCCTTCAAATTAGATACAGGAAAAAATCACTGAAGTATGGTGTAGTGTAATTTAATGCTGGTTTAAACGATGCAATCCAATGCATTTTCATTAGATGTTCTGAGACACTTCTCTAGCATTTATGCTTTGAAGGCTGTTGGATTGCCAGCTGCAATAACTATTTTGATTGCAGTCTGAGCTGATGGTGGGCATCCTACCAGAAAAATAATGTGCTCTGTTTTAATTATGGCACCTGCATTCCAAAATGGGAGCCTGCCTCACAGTCTGTGATGTTGCTGCACTTGGTACAGTGGAGCAGGACAATATGCAACAGGTGGAGGTGGGCACACGAGCAGAGGGCTTTGGTGCTGCGACCTGCTGTGCACTTAGCTTAGCAAGTGTTGCTTCTGGCACTGCTTTAGTTTGGTTCCCCACTGTAGGAGCAGAATGAAGCCAATGGAAAACACGTTGAAAAGCTCACACAATCAGCGTTGGCCCGCAAGCAACTTAAGGGGATAATGACTCAATAATCCATTTGGCCAGAGACACAGAAGGAATGGGAGATAATTTATGTTCTTATTACTGCCCTCACCTTCTTGTTCCAGCCCTTAATGAAAACAAGGGACAGTGTTTGCTGCTTTCCTCTCTCTTGTTATTGTACACATCTTTTTTTATTGCCACGCTAAATAACGGTGATGTCAGAATGACTGTTTCGTGCATGAGGCCATTTGGGGATGACTTCATATTGTCTGCAGACACGATACCCACGGTTTGAATTTGCCTGGGCTGCAGGTTTAGGCAGGAGGTGTGGGACTGGAGGGATGTGGTGCAGGCTGGGCTTCTCCAGGCTGAGGACAGCAGTGCTGGGGCTTATGGATGGCATCTGGGCAGAGCCTTGTTAGTGAAGTTCCCATTCCTTGAATATTACCTGTGCTCTTACTTACTCGGAGAAGTTGAGGACATCAGATGGGAGAAGTTAGCTGCACATGTTGATTGAGGGGTTGAGAGGAAAGTCATAACTTCTCTGACTGCAGCTGCTTGTATTGGAGGGCATGTGGAATTTCATGGCATTTCTCATGCAGGCTGTCACTGTAGAAGATACGAAAATTAGCTGTAGAAAGGATAGGAGTTGCTGCATAAATACTTGATTGAGGCAAAGTTTCCTGCTTCTTCCTAAGTGTAGCATTAATGGGGACATTTCTGATGTCTAGTGTGAAGGGCAGGATGGCATTGGTTGCCTTCTGAACTGCTTCTTGCTGCTGTTCCAGGGATACCTTCTACGAAGGAACATAGGAAGCTCAGGATGTGAAGAGATGGTTGGGTTGGGTTGGTTTTTTTTTTTCTTTTACAATTTCTGAAAGTCCTGGGTGCCCATGGAAACATCTTCAAACAGTGTGGAATCTGTGGAAAGACTGAGGCCAAACTTCTGCCTCAATGTCGTGCCCCTGTGCACAGACCATTCTTCTCTTTAAGCACCCTGTAACTACAATGCATGAATATATGCTTAAGGGCAATTTTGTTTCAGGAGCACTTAATTCCCATTGTCTCCTCTGGGATGTGTGCACTTGCTTACAGGTAAGCAGACATGTAAATGTTGCCCTGAATTAAAATCAACATCTGCAGAGTGGAGTCGTCTTGGTGCGCGCTGTGAGCTGAATCCAAGATGCAAAAACCTTCACTCAGAGAGGACAGATCTGCTCAAAATAAAAAGCACAGACTTTTGGTAACTGATCCCTGGGTAATGATGAAGCAGTGTGTGGTGGTTAGCTGGGGAGAAAAACCACCAGGTTCTGTTTTCTGTTTTTAGTAAAACTCCTGTGCGTTGCTTGGTGTTTTTGGGGACGTCGGGGTCCAGCCATTGCAGCTGAGTTGCACAGTAAAACTGTGGCACTCTCCTTTAATTCTGTGCACAGCTGTATGGGAACTGCTGAGAAACGGCCTGAACCTCTGATTGATCACCTGAGGTGAGCCATGAGCCAGCCAGAGGAGCACAGGTGAAGGCAATTCACCTGTGCTGCTGGAAGGGGTGGAACCAGGCTGCACCCCTCCTAGACGTACTGAAGAGCTGGCTGCCAGTGGGGAAGGATCTTGTCTGGAGATCCCTCCTTCTGGTGTTTTGTGGTGAGCCCAGCATAAGGGTAAGCCTTCCATTTATTCTCTCTTGTTATCATAGTCCACTTTGCCTAACTCTCCTGTTTATTTTGTGGTTGTAACATCTTAATATTCATTGATCATACAACAGCAAAATTGTCTGAATCCTAAGAAAAAACTGGAAGCTTTAAATTTGTACTAAACAGCAGCAATTGTTCTTTCAACTTGCGTAGACAATGGGTTTTATGCTGGGAGCTGGGAACTATTTCTTTGCTGACATCAAATCATCTGCCATCATTGGCAAGTGCATGAATTTTGCCAGCAACTGAACATTTTTGCTTTAATAAGGTTCCAAAGGCAGAGCATGTCAGCTTTCATTAGTCAGTTCAATCTGTTTGACATAAATATTGGAGCTCACCGAGTTGGGGATGGAATAAGAGCAGTGAGGGAGGTTCACTTATTGTCTCTGTAAGTTGGCTGGGGGCAGATTGAAGGAGAAGCTGCTGGGCTGGGAATGGCTGTGCTGGCCCCTGGTTGGCGAGGGTGGGTGGCCCCAGTGCTAAGGGTTGTTCAGTGGAGCTGTGATACAGGAGGTGAATGGGATAAATCTCTGTAGGTGTGCTTTGTGAGGCGTCACTTGTCTGTGTTGCAAGCATCTTTCTCATGGAACAGGAAACAAGATGTAACTGCTGTATAAAAGATGTGGGATGAGCGTCTGCGTGAGTAAGAAGGATTAGGCTTTCTCTTACAGCTTTCTCTTACAGCAGCGCGTTTGTACCTTATGTAAATCTATTATGTAAATCACCTTAGCCTTGTGTGGGGAGATGGATTATAAGTTATAAAACTGTGATTGTTTGTAAGGAATGTGCATTAGTTCTTGGGCTGTGTCAATATAGTGAGAGGGATTTGGTGTCTGCCATCTAATAAAGCGTTACAAATAGAACATTACAAAAGAAAGTTTTGTAATAAAATTAAGTTGCCATTTAGCTCTGAGTCTGCAAGGGGGGAGGGCAGAGATGCATGTGGAAAGTGGCATTTCTGCAGTGTTATGCTGGATGGAGTACATGAGTAGTTCCTGTGGAAAGCCGGGAGGGGTTGCAAGCCCAGGATGGGTTTGCCCAGCGTTAGCTGAACAGCTGTGTAATTGACTCAACCTCTGCGTGTCCCTTCCTAAGGAGCTGTTAGCCATTCTCCTTCTGTCTCTTGGGATTTCCCAGCCCTTTCAGGCTATGCTGTGTTGGCCAGGCGGCAGCTGCCCTGCTTGTTGCTGTGTGGGGAGGTGAAGGGCAGTGGTGAGTGTAATCTTCCTCTTGATTTTCTTCCAGGTTAACGGGTTTCCAGCTGCCTGCTCCTATAGTGAGTACGGGGGTCGTGCTGTCCTTGTGGCTTGTGAGCGACTACGCGGTCAGTGCTCAAGGCTTCCAGGCAAACTATGAAGGTAAGTGCCCAGTGCAAACCTGTCTTGAATCATGTGTGCATCCTCTTATGGCAGGATGAGAAGCTGAAGTGTGGAGTTTATACCACAAGAAGTGTTTATACACACATATATACCTATGTGCTGATGCTTGATCTAGGACAAAACACCCGATTCAAATCTCTCACCCTTTACAAGGGGAAATGCATTTTTCTCCTTTGCATTTGTGCTTAAAATCTTAGTCCAGCAGCAACTCCAGAGTGTCTGAGGCAGGAGTGGAATTTGGCAGTGGGATCCTCAAGGCTGCAGCCAGTGGGATTTATGGGATTTACAGCAGAGCTCATGGGGAGTGCAGAGGAATGCAGAGGATGTTTAGAGGTTGCAGCATTTTTTTTTCCATTCTCTTTGCTTTTTTTTTTTTTGTCATGCATCTCCTCCATCTCTCTTGGAAGTCATGAAATACCTAAAAGAACTGTTTGTCCTCGAAGGCAGATCATGGCTGTGTGAGCTGGGGCTGCTGTAAAGGACAGGTTAACCATGTCTAAATTGGAGTTGCATTTACGTTAATTATTGAACCTAGAATATTGTTTCTGTCCCTGTAAATGTTTTTCTTAAGTTCTCAGCCTTAATGGTAATTTTTGGTAATGAGTCCTACTGGCCAATTACCCAATGCATTAAACCAAGCAGATGCCTTCATTTAGATGATGATTTGATCTCTCAATGTTTTTTGCTCTTGACAATTGTGCAGGTTCAGGAGAATTCTGTTTAAATACTCTCTAATTTCTGTTTAAACACTTTGCTCTGCCTTGAGGCAGCGGAGGCTTTGCAGAGAACAGGGGTGTTTTATTACTTCCAATGGTTGGTGTTGCAGCAGGTGTTGAGAGCAGCCTGGCACTGCTGTGTGCTGTTGTCCAGCTCAGAGCAGGCTCTGGCTGTTCACAGGGCAGAGGAGGAGAAGCAATCCCATCCCATTGATGGGACCTGTGGTAGAAGTCCACCATTATGCTTGATAAATGCAACAGCTCATGGCTCCCAAATTTGGTGACAGAGGACGGAGCTGTTTTTGTACCTTCCTGACTTTGAGAATTCATTTTTTTGCCATTTAGTTGCACAGCTCTTTGCACTCTCCATCCTGTTGCTGGTTAGCCTGGTTCCACCAATTGCCCTTTGCCCAGGCAACCCCAGCCATGCTTCTGTGCCACAATTTGTTCTTACATAGGAAGTTCTGCAGATAAAATGTATATAACTTCATTTTCATGAAGCTTTGTTCTCCTTTCTTCTCTGTGGTACCTTCCTGCCTTTGTGCCTTGCTTGTGACCTTGCTGCAGCAGGTGTTCTTGTACACAGCCTGCTCCAGGGCTGCCCTTCAGTCACATGTCATAAATTTGCTAAGGAGGCTTTAAAGCAGATAACAGAATGCATTGCAGGGGAAAAAAAAAAGAAAGGTGTTTCAAACTTGACAGAACCATTGAGTGACACAGAGCAGATGGAGGCTCGCTAAAAGCGTGGCGTTGCGCCTCCCTCCCAACAAGGTGCTCATATTTAGATTTTTGTTAACTCACGGTAAAGGAAGAGATAAGCCAGCTTTTGATAAGAGCTACATGCTCTGCTGTAGTGCTGTTTCAGCTCGCTGGTAATCCACGACTCGGTGAATAGCTTGTGATTCTATAATTCATGCTTAAAGACAGAACAATGCATCAGAGTCCTTTTGGTAAATGGCTCCTTTATGATCTGCTATCAAAGCACGCTCGTTATTTGCATCCTCCCTGTAAGCAGGCATTTGGAAATGGTAACAAAAGATCTCGGGAACCCCTTTTTTAAAGGAAGGAAATACATACATGGGACATCAAAGTGATAGGAAAACAGTGCACATAAGCTGCTGTCTGCTCTATCCTGGTCTTCTGGGAGGCAAAGAAGTTGAGGTTGGCTTTATCAAAGTGAAGGTCTTCCTTATTTATCTAATTAGTATGAGTATGCGTGATGAAGACCATTTATAAGCAATTTATTGGAAGCAACAAACATCTGCTTAGATGTGTGTATATGTTTATTCATTTCTGGCTGCACTTAAGCCATGCACTTCAACTGGGAAAGGGAGCACTTGCATGCACGGGTAGCAGAACGCTTGCACCGAGAAAATGTAGAGATGCTACAAGAACAGATGGACAGAGCACATTTCTGAGAGCCTGCAGACCCTTTGTGAGCCCCAGGTATTGCTGGTGCCAGAAGGGCATTGGAATCTGGAGAACTGCCAGCTCCAGGACTGCCATGCTGCAGCATTGCTTGAGTGTGTGCTCCTCTGACTTGTTTTATACACACCTATGCAGTACTGTAGGATATTCTTGAACTCTCTCTTCCTCTGATTTCCTCATCTTTGTTCATTTGGTTTGCTGTGTGTTTCCAGCTTGTTTGTTTTCATTGTCTGATTCCTCCTGTTCTCCAATCTCTTGATGTTTGTTGTGATTTTTTTTTTTTTTTTCTTCTATTGATGTCAACTGTTATTTTGAAGCCCAGTATAAACACTAAGGATTTTACATTCATTTTCCTGCTGTGGAAGGCAAACAGGCTGATGTGATGCTTCCCCAGCACAGCCCCCTCCTGATGGGTGGAACATCTGCAGCTGGAGGTGGTGCTGCTGCAGGGTGCAGAACTCTGTTAGAGGTGCTGGGGGACAGCTTTGGGGACATGGGTGCTGCTTCCAGCTCTGGCAGGGGTGCTCTGCAGGATCTCATGTTGGTCCAAGTCTGGATTCCAAGTTCCCGTGGTGTAAAATAAGGTCAGGATGGCTTCTTGTCATACACACTGCTCTGAGCTTGCAAAGGTGGCGTTCAGGAGCTTCTCTATGGCGTGGTGGATTTGGGAAGACCTCACATATGAGGAGATGTGGCTGGATTGCCAGTACTGAGGTGGATCATCAAGCAGAGTGGGGGCAACTGCTGTAAGATGAGTGAGAGGCAGTGAGAAATGGCCTTGGTCACAAGGGTTTGTTCTTTTAAACAAGCAATTCTTAAGAAGCTCTACTCCAGGACCAGTGTTTTAGAAAATGCTTACATGAAGTGCTTTCATGCCTACAGCAGACTCTTTTTTCTTTCTTTTTTTCCCCTACAGAACTGTCCCTTGAACTCCATATGATTCAGTTAGCCTTGTTCCCCTCCATCTGTGGGGCAATTTCCCTTTGTGGTTAAACACTTCTCAGGGTTCCCAGCCAAACCTTGGAGCCCTGTGTTCCATTTTCAGGAGAGCTGTGAGGCAGCAGCCATCAATAAGCAGAGCACAAACTGTACTGGGATGTGAATCTTGACCACGTTGTCTTGGGGACCGAGGAACCAAAAATGACCGATGCCTTCATTGATTGCTTCCCCTGAAGGATGTCTGAAGCTAATATTAAGGCACATGCTTGCATTACAGTGTGAAATTAATTGCAATCACAGCTGCCACACACCTGATGAATACGCAGTGAGTTGACATTTACAATAAATTGGGCAAGTCTTTTACAATAAGAGGAAATCGATACACATTCCACATCACTTCCTCAATAATACTAATAACACTTCATGATGAAGAGAGGGCGGGTTATTTTAGCTTATTAATGTAGGTATAAAATAACTTTACGTTCTTATTTGTAAACCATTACCTCTTGGCTGCCTCACTTTAGCACTGAGGGGATGAAAAATGGCAGAGGACTTGAGGAAAGATACCTGAAGCTGCTCTTCATCACGCATGACTGAAGAGAGCACTGCTATAAAACACTTCTGCCCTGGCTTTGTGCACTGTAGCCACAAAGGCTGGAGGCGTTTCATGGAATCATAGGTTGGAAAAGAGCACAAAGATCATCGAGTCCAACCGTCAGCCCATCCCCAGCATCCCAATGCTGTGCCTGGGCTGTGAGCAAAACAAGAAGGAGGCATACAGAGGATAGATGATGTTCTAAGACTGCTGGTGTTCTTTTCCCAAAAGCAAAAGTTCATTTAGAAACTCAGGCCCTGGAATGAACTGAAGGGTTTTGGATTCTGGACTCCTCTGCTTCAAAAAACTGCTGTGTGATGCAGTGAGATGGAACAGTAGGTGAAGATTTTCCTTCCCAAGACATCGCGTTTGATTACAGCTGCAACAAATTTGATAGCTGCAAACACTGAGTGCCTGATTGAAAAGAAACAATTATGCCTAGAAGAACACTGCTTATTTTAAGAAATTAGAAGCGTTTAAATACAGAGGGAAACAACCCCAAGTAAATGGTACTGTTTTCCTTCATAATAAATACCCTCCTCTTTCTCAAGCACAAATATTTCATTCTTTAGAGGGTTGTGTGGGGAGTTGTGCGTATATATTTAGATAATGCAGTTTAAAAGTGGGTCCTGTCCATCTTTATCCATAGCTTTTCCTAAATTTGAACAAGGTTTCTTGACTGTTGTTCTGGATGTGTCGTCACTGTGCTCTGTGTCTCCCTTTTCCCATCTGTCATTTGACTTCACAGTGGCAACTGCCCCATTAATGGAGTGGGTCTGATTTCTGTCTTTAGCAACAAAGGATGCAAAGTTGGTGCAAAATGTCCAATTCAGCTTCTGATTGTTCAACTCGGGGCTCCCAGAGGGGCAGAGGGAGCTGCCCGGGGGGGTGCAGAGGCACTGGGGTGACCCACACTGCTCAGGAAGCACTCAGAGTATTTTCTCCATCTGGGAAAATAAATTTCAGGTCTGCCAGCTTAGAACTGAATAGGCTAAAATCTTTAAAGCTGTAACAGAATGTACTTTTTACGCCAATTTTCTTTCTGAGCAAACACCGCATTGGGTTCATTTAAACATCCAGCTGGGTCCCAGCTCTCTCAGTACCTGAATCATAGCAGAGACGCTGGGTGCTTGGTAAGCTTCCTCAGTTGGTGCTTTTCTTTCATACTGAGGCAGAGGAATGTGAATCCTGCAGCAAAGCACAGGTTAACCCTTGCTGTGGTGGCAGTGGGAAGGATGGAAGCTGAGGGTGCTGCTCTGCTCCTTGTTCTTCTATGCAAGTTTGCTGTTGCCTCTGTGCTG